GCCAGGGCTGTGAACTACTGAGCCATCTCTACAGCCCCAAGACACTGTTTTTTAACAACAAGAACAAAAAAAGAAAAAAGAAAAGAAATAGTAAAAAATAACCACATAGAAAAGTATCAACATGTTTATGTATCTTGTGTGAGCTTGAGATGTGTTCAATTGTTTTCTGTAGCCTCAGGTGGCAGGGTCTGGAGAGCCGCTCGTTATTCCTTACGCATGTGTGCCTGTTGCTCTGGTGGCAGCTGACAGGGTTAACGGACTTGGATCAATCCCAAGAGGGAAGCAAGGGTCGAACCCTGTAACCATCCCCAGGGCCAACCCAGCCCCAGGCTTAGATTACCACTCGTTTCATGTGAGCCCTGGGCTGGTTGCTTAGGTCATGGCTGTGTTCTTCCATGTCTAAGACGGAGATGGCAGTTATACCCATTGAGCAGGTTGGTACACACAACACATTTAATGATAATTTTAAGGTTTTGCACGTGCATGAACAATATGGGATTAGCTGCATAAATCAAACACAAATTCCCATGAGGCAAGTTTTGCAGGCATCCACAGAAGGATTCAGACTTGATGTGGGGGTTGGATTGATATTTCTCTCTAGTCACTCAGCCTGTCCTTGTGCAGAAATGTGGCCCTGTGGCAACATCATTAGAGATACTTTAGACCAGTGGTTCTCAACCTGTGGGGTGCGATCCCTTTGAGGGTCAAATGACCCTTTCACAGGGGTCGCCTAAGACCATTGGAAAACACAGATATTTACATAACAATTCAGAGCAGTAGCAAGATTACAGTTATGAATTAGCAACAAAAATAATTTTATGGTTGGGGAGTCACCACAACATGAGTAACTCTATTAAAGGGTCGCAGCATTAGGAAGGTTGAGAACCACTGCCCTAGAAGGTGGAAGCTGTGTGGTTCAAAACCACAGAGGATTCCTTAGCTATCTACAGGCAGATGTCTGCTGAGAAAGAGGCTTGGACAGGAGGAGTCCGCAAGGGAGGGGGAAGGGGGAACCCCACCAAGGGCTGTGGGAGAAACTGAGTTGATCCTTGTTTATGGTTTCACCAACAGCAGAACTCCAAATCAGAGTGGCAACAGAAGCCAGGTAACTGTTGCCATGTTTACCAGCTTAGGTGGCTCTGGGGACCGTGGTATCCAGGAGGAGCAGAGCTGAGCATTGACGCTTCAGCCCTGGGCACCTGGGGCACGCCTCTCTGGCACCAACTAAGCACAAACAGGTAGGAGGAGCTCTGGTCAACAGGGAATTCTGAGCCTGTCACAGCCAGCCTGCTCCCAGCCACCCAGACAAGGGAGCTGTGGGCCCAGCCTGGGTTTCTCCCTCACAAACCAGGACTGCTGGGGAGCTGTGGAGATGAGGGTGAAGCAACGTGGAGCCCTGGGGCTTCTTTGGAGTCTAGTTCTGGTTGATGCTCGGGGCCTCAAGGCTCAGGGCCAGGATGCATGAGGGTGATAGGGGGCAGGTGCATGTCAAGGATATGCCCATTTCTCAAAAGACGAAAAAAAGGGGTCCTGCCATAGGTTCAAGCACCATAATGTTATCAACTTGGGGGTCACCACTTGTGCCCCAAGTGAGGTCCAGCCATCCATCCTCAATAAGCCAACTACAAGAGCCAAATTAAAAGGGGTAAGCAGAAAAAGGAGATTTATTTAATGTGGCCGCGCTGGGAAGAGGGACAAAGGGATCCAGAGACCCCCCAAAACCAGTCTTCGGGGTCCTGCAGTGAAACCAGAGTTTAAATAAAGGCCAAGGATATTGTGTCTAGGCAGTCCTGGTCGAGGTGTGGCCCCGCCCACCCTGACCCATCATTGGTTGTTCCAGCTTCAGTCTCATCCTGGAAGGCGGACTGACAAGTTAGAATCTCTTCCAGCAGGGATCTGGCTGGCGCCTTTTCCTTCTCCCTGGTGAGAGTCCTGGGGAAAATTACCACATTTTATTGGGTCCATCGTTTCAGGAGTCAGGTTACACAAGAGTCCCTCTAGAGTATCTCTACAGGGTCACCCAGCAGACAGGTGTCCAGTCCAGATAGGATCCTGAGAGGTGGGCCTTTGAGGAGGATCCACCCCTCAGCTCTTTGTTCTCAAGGCCTCTGTCTCGGTGCTAGGGTCCTAGAAGGAGGGGAGCTTCAGCAATGCCTCCAAGACACGGAGAGCAAACAGACCTTGAACTGTGAGGGAAAGTTAGCAGAGGACTGGAAATAGAGTTCCAAAAATTTGTCCTTGACAGCCTGGGAATACACAGATCCACCCACATTCCCAGCGCTTTGAGAATTGCTTAATGTTCTGCAAATTATATGTAAATTTATGCAAATCCCATGCAAAATCCCCAGGATTGTTAGGATGCAGACTGCCCTGAGGAATTTGGGGTTTGGTCCACACACACCCCCCCCCAATTAATGCTGCTTTGGTGACATTATAAAGTAGGATGGCCAAGTTCCTTCATTTTGGTTTTGTGCAAAATTTTCTTGTCCAAACTTTCTTTTTATGTCCTTTTATAGAGACCAAATAACTTGTCACCACACTCACTAAGGTATTTCCCAAGAAATGAGCAAGCTTGACATCAGGTAGATCAGTGGTCCTCAACCTTCCTAATGCTAAGACCTTTTAATAAAGTTCCTCATGTTGTGGCAATCCCCCCAAACATAAAATTATTTTTGTTGCTACTTCATAACAGTAATTTTGCTACTATTATGAATTGTAAATAATTTTGGAGATAGAGGTTTGCCAAAGGGGTTGTGACCCACAGGTTGAGGATACCTGAGCTAGACCAACAAGTAACCCCCTCTATTCCTTCAGAGTGCAAGCGTCCCTTCACCTGGAAGAAGACCTGGGCTCCTGGTTGTGCCTCAGGCACAAGTGAGACTCAGATCAGGTCTTAGTGTCTGGTGGCAGAGGGACCAGGTCGTGGCTCAGGTCCCTCTCTGCCACCCCAGACACTGAGACCTGCCTTGAGTCTCACTCCTGGGCTGGTGGGATGCTTCTCCTTTTCCCAAAGCCCAGCTAGAGATGTACTTTGTTGTAATTGTTCTTTGACTGCACAGATGGGGATGTTGGCACATCTGTAATTGTGAAGCGGCTCCTCCATCACCGGACAGTTTGCCTCTGATTTGCGTCAGAGCACAGCACTGAGCTTTGTCTTGTAATTTCTGTTTCCAGTCCTTACTCACGAGTCCCTGTGCCTGGTTGCTTTCTCAAGCCACGTTGGTTTCTACCTCTGGCCCCAGATGTCCACTGGGGCCTGGACGCCAGTCTGCAGCCCTCTGCTTTCCTTGTGGTTGCTGGGGCAACTCTGCCCTTTTTCCTGTGTGTGGTGGGTGAGATTGAGGAAGTTATGGTGTTTTTGGTTTACCTTCTGGGAAAGGGTTAAGTGCACTGGTACAAAACAAACCAGTTCTGGAGACTCTGATGCTCTCTGGAAAGTTCTAGCAACCAGCAGATTTCACAGAAGGCAAGTCCTAATCTCAGCACACAGTGGCACCGCACATCTCCATTCTACCCGTAGCCCTAGGGCACAAGTCTCATCCTCCTCATTCAGCCCAGCAAGATCTTCCAATACTTTGAGGTCTGTGGACATACTGCTTCTCTCATGCACCTTTTAGGATGCAGAGGGAAACGTAACACGGATTTCTGCACTGCACACAGACATGGGGCACAGCCTGCTTCTTTCCTTCATAGAACAGGGGGTATGTTTGGTGCTCTCCCTGACGCTGGGTGTTGTGCTAGGCCCAGGAGTCCTGGGATTTGCTGAGACCACAGAGGTGCAGTGGACTGGAGCGTGGGTCTTGCTTGCTGTTTGAGGAAGTCCCCGGTCCCTTCTGACAACCTGACTTCAGCAGGTGTGGGAGTAAAGGACCTTTGCTGCTCTGGGCTTGGGGACTCTCAGGACTGCAGCATGGGGACAAGGGAATAGGAAGAGGAGGTGGGACCCACTGCATGGGGCTCCTCTCCAAGGTGTCTCCGGATCTCTACAGGTACCTGGCCACCAGTCACCCCAGCTGGGAGCCCTGGGCCTGTAAGCTGGTGGCCTGCTTTCTCTGTCTTCATCCTTGGCCCAGGCTCTGGGGCTGGTGCAGAGAGCACACAAGCAGGACTTTGGTTGAGGAAATGGAAGGGGCTGGGCGGGCAGAGACACCTAGTGTGTCTGGGGTGGGAGTTCCGGCTACTCTGTAGTCTGTGAAAGGACAAGGCAAGGCTCCCAGAGAGAACTGTCCCCAGCCCTGCTCCTGGCCAGAGCAAGGCACCCACTCTGCCCCACGGAAGGTGCTATCATCAGTCGGCCACTCTTGTCCTGGTGCTTGCCTCAGTTGCTCTGGCCTTAGCTGGCCTTGGATGGAGGCCACTTGGGCACAGTGAAGGAGGTCCCTAACCCGTCCCTTTACTTGTTAGGACTGTCATGATGCGAACTTGCCAAGAGAAATGTTTGACCTCCAGCTCCTGATGGCAGACCCTGCTGCCTCTGCCACAGGAAGGAAGGCGGAAGACTCTGCACACTGTCTCCCCTCCCAACCGCAAACGTCCACTGTGCAGGTGGGAGGCCAGCCCCAGGCTGAGTAGCTGGCTTGCCTTAGTCTTCTTGGCCATGCTTTCTGCTTCACTTTCAACACAACTGAACGAGATGTGTCCAAAGCCACTCCCTTCCTGCTGCTGGCTCGGCATCCCCTAGGATTCACACAGTGCAGGCTGTTGCGGTTCACTGGTCCTTCACAGGGCAGCGTTCCTTTCTCAGAGCCTCTTCACATCTGCCAGGTGCAGCCAGGACTACTCATGGCCTGTAGCCAGAACAGCCTCCATGTGGTACAGGGAGCAGAAAGGCAGGGAACTCGTGGTGACTGGGGTGAAGCAGCAGGAAGCCCATGTCAACCTCTGACGTAACCTTGACTCCCCAGGACCGCTTTCTCACTTCTCCCTGGACCTACCTGTGCCTTCTGTCCCTGTGCTCCTGGGAGAGAAGGAGAGACAGAGGGCGACAGGTAAGGGGACTCAGAAAGGTGGAGAAAAGTAATCCTGGGCCCCTGATGCCCAGAGAAATGTCCTCCTGGAGGGAAGAGTGCATCTGCATTCAGGAACCATCCACCAGGCAGCTGGAAACATCTGCCACGAGTAGGTGTGCCAGGAGTCTGGTGAGGTCGGCGGCATCTAACTGGGTGGTGCTGGGAAAGGAGGGGTCCAGGTGCCTTCTGGGAATAGAGCTCTCTCCCGGCCTGATCTTCTTGGCACCTGTGTGTCAGGTCAGCCCTCCCTCATCTGCTAATACCGGCTGCAGGCCAAGAGGCTTAGGTGGGTCTCCATGGCAACCGCAGCTGGCCTGCCTTCGGGAACTGCGGGGAGTTGTGGCTGGGCTCTGGGGACCGACGCGCACTCCACAAACACCAGCCCAGCTGGGGCCTTCCTCCAGTTGGTGCCTCCAGTAAAACTTCTCAGACAGGAGAAGCAGAGAGCACCGGAGGCCGCCGGCAGCGGAAGAGGCAGAGAGAGGCTGTGAGGATGCTGTGCACCCCTCTACCTCTGCCCCTGTACAACCGCTCAGCTTCCCACCTTCCCTAGACCGGGAAGCGGGAAGCGGGAAGCAGGGCCCCTACGGTGTCACTGCCCCGGAAGGAGGTGGATCTCAGGTAAGAGTGTGTGTGTGTGTGTGTGTGTGTGTGTGTGTGTGTGTGTGTGTGTGTGTCCAGAAGTGGCAGCTATGCCTTCAGGAGGAGACAGGCACACTTGGCTATGAGCGTGGAGGGGAGGCTCCCTGGCCATCTGGGAACCAGAAAACAGACTGGATCCCAGGTAGCCATGGGAGGCCCCCTCGGTCCTCACTGGTCAAAGATGAGAGGACTCAGGCAGGATCCTGGGGGAGGGGGTTACCTAGCCTGGTTCTTTCTTCATGAACTTGTGGGGAGCCACAACTGTTGTCTGCTCTGGGCTGAGCAAGCCTCAGAGAGAAGCAGCCTCAGAGCTCCCTTGTGTGGTACTCAGAAGACACAGCCACAGGAAGGAAGCAAATCCATCTGAGAAATGCAACTTAGAGCACCCAAAGGGTAGAGTCAAGTCTAGGCATACAGAAGGGTCCAGGGGACGTGTGGTCCCCTCTACAATGGAGCAGCCTATGAGGGCTCAGTACCTGGGTGGAGGGAGGTAGGGAGGATTCAATGGGTTGTGACATTGGGATGAAGGGAGAATTTTTTTGGAGATTTCCCGTCATATTCAGACCTAAGTACTTGCATCTCTGCCTCAGTATTAAGAGAACTGACTGAGACTCATCTATCCATCAATCCATCTGCCCTCTATCCATCTATGGACCATCTATCCACACATGCATGCATCCACCCATCCACCCACCCACCCACTGATCCATCCACTCACTCACTCACTCACTCACTCACTCATTCACTCACACTCACTCACTCACTCACTCACTCATATCTACCCATCCATTCACATACCCAGCTGCCCGTGCACACATCCATCCATCATTACAGATGCTGGAATGATGGGTCCTATGGCCACTGAGACCCATGCTATCTTAGTGGGGAGCAGTGAGGGCAGGCTACAGGAAGAGTTGACCCTTAGAAGAGGGTGTGAGGGATGAACAGGTCTTTGCCGGGTAGGTGAAAGGCCCACAGGTCAGGCCTGTTCACACCTGGCTTGACGGCAGTAATTTTTCTAATGCCGAAAAGAAACGAGGCTAACTTGCAGCTGGTGAAGTTGACCTTGGGCCAGGGAGAGAATTGGTGAGGGAGGGCAGTTACATATGCTCTCTGTACCTCTGCCAGGACCCGGGGTCTGGCCTCAGCTGACACAGCTGCTCTAAGAGGTAACTCATGCTCTGGGATAGCCTGGGTCAGGTGCCCTTAGGCCTTAGGGTCACCGGGAACAGAGCCCTCCCTGGCCTGCAGATACTCATCCGAGCTGTGGGAGTCCAGCTATACAAGGAGGGAGCCACAGCTGCGGCCCTGGGTGTGGCTCCCTCTGGACCAATAAATCAGGGTTCTTGGATCAAGGCCAGCATCCCCTTCACTGTGTGGCACCCGTGAGCATAGTGGTCCCCTCTAACTGTCTAGGACCAGACTCCTCTTCCCTCGGGATCCAGGGCAGGCTTGGAGCGTTTCTAAGATGAAAAGCCACTGTCCTCGGGGGGGATGTCCAGAAATGGAGGGAGGAGAGTATGATCAGAGCATGATCAGAGGTGGCCGGGAAGGGAAGAGGCCAGTGAGGGAGAGTGACACCTGGGGGCAGCGGTAGGAACAGGGGCTTTCCTGTGACCCGGCCCAGGCACTTAGAATCAGTTTCTCTTGGAATATAGTGACTCAGCTCCCCTATACAGACACCAGATCACAGAGCCAAGGAAGGCTAGGATCCAGGTTGGGGTGAAACTTGCACCAAGTCGTGGGGTGGGGAGGGGCAGGATAGGCTTTCTTTTCTGTTCTACAGACTGCTGGGGGTCACTGAGAAAACATTCTCTGAAGTGTTTCTAAATGAAACATCACCAAAGCTGAATTAGAGAAAAACTAGCTGTGTAGAAATGCAACCACTGAAATATGCATAAAAACAACTTATGACATGGTGATAGCTGTGCTTTTCTAGAAATAGGTAAGATTATAAGATCTAGTGACATAATTTTGCGTTTCAGAGTAATGATGAGCACACAATATTTCACAAATAGCAACTTTGAGGAGTCATGATCTTGGCTGGAGGTGAAGTCTCAGGTGTCATAATAGATACTCCTGGGTTGTGTGGTGGGCATTCCTACCTGGAGGAGATGATACATTAAAATATTTCAGATTTATTTCTTTTATGTGTATGAGTGTTTTGCCTGCAAATGTGTGTGTGTGCACCATGTGTGTGGCTGGTGCCTGTGGAAATCAGAGTGGATATCAGATCCCCAAGAATTGTAAACCGCCATGTCAGTGCTGGCCCTCTCAAGAGCAGCGAGCCCTCCTAACTGCATGTCTGCCTCTCCGGCCCAGAAATGCTACATTTTAAATCAGAGGTGGAAACAAGGTCTTTCCAAGGTCATAACCTGGTTCTCCTAGGACCCCAGGGAAGAGTCCCTGCACTGAGGGCCGGGGACAGCCTCAGGTGGAGCAGCCTCCTGGTGTGAACGCTCTTCTCAGGGTTATCTGGTTTTACAGGAACTCGAAACAAACACCCTCATTGCCCCTCTTACAGACAGGGAAACTGAGACCCCAGGGAGCTGGACGCAGGCTAGATGTGTCAGGGACAGCGGGCACTCTCTCCCCAGCCTCAGCATGCCTCATTGAGACAGCAATTGACCAAAGGGAAGGGGGACAACCAGGCCACCAAGCATGCCTGCAGTTAAAGGAGGGTGAGGCATCACTCCTTAGCAGAAGAGACTCAGGGAGAAGAGGGAGGAGCTATCAGCAGAAGGCAGCATCCATCCTGCCCCATTTCCCAGACGTGGGAGAGAGACACATCCCCAAGGTTCTCACAGACCACAATGGTGGGGGTCTTTGCAGTCTTGGGGTGTGTCATCCTAGCTGGCTTTCATTTCTTCTTTCCCTCTCTGTGTCACTGTCGGCCAGCGTTCTGCCTGTTTTCTCTGTCATCTGGCAGGCACAGAGGCCGCACTCACTTCCAGACTGCGTACCAGGTTCTGGGATGGCAGACCCAGGTATTGCACAGGACTTCACACACCTGCTTTTGAGAGTCACAGAAGTCTGGGGAGTGTGCTGCATGGTGTGTCAACCCCATGCATAGATGAGGACTGTAAGGCCCGGCTGGTCAGGGAGAATGAGGCAGTGTCTTCTCAGTGGGGGTTAGTTACCTGGATGTCCTCTCAGATGGTCACACACTGATGACAGAGGTGCCTTCCATCCAGGAGTGCTGACTCTGTAGAAGCATTTCGATGGCTCTCTCTAGAGACCCCCACCTCGGACTCCAAAGTGCTTGGATTACAAGCATCCCCCCCGCCCCACACACTTATTCCTGAACACACACTCCTCGAGGGAGCCTCACATCTAGTGCAGTGGGAGGCATGGCACAGGCCGGGGTCTGCTGACCTCAGGCTAGCCCAGCACACTTCCTGTGCCCGCTGGTGGAGAATTCCACAGCCCCATGTGCTGACATGCAGGCAAGTTGGAAGAAAAGTACAACAAACACCCCAAAACAAAAACAAAAACTCCAATAAAACAATCATTTTGCTGGAGTCACATGTTTATGTGTGCAAATGCACATGCATGCTGCTTGTCTGAATGGTTGGAATGTAAGTCTGCCCACATCCACAAACACTCCAGCACTGTCTCCTAACACTGCCCTAGACCCCAGCTGCTTCACACCCAAGGAAACGGCAGTCCCTCCTCACATCCAGGCTGGTATCTGAGACTGTCAATGAGGCTGAGCAAGCGAGCAGGCCTCCGTGACAGGCTCCGAGGTCACCCAGGCCCTGTCACAGACTAGGTGAGCTAGAGAGGGAGGGGCCTTGGAAGCTTTCCCGGGAGCTCTGTTCCTGCCTCCAGAGGGTGGTGAGGAGCCAAAACTTCGATCTCCCAGGGCAGGTCACAAGGCCTGGCTGGTCCAGGAGTCTGCCTGGCTGGCAGCTGTCTAGAGACCCTCCCCCACCCTCCCTCACCATCCTGTGGCCTTAAGAACTTAATCGGGCTTGCCCGCTTGCCCGTAGAGCCTCCTGGGGGAGCAGCTGGCACCCGGGACAGAAATAGAAGTAATAGAAACCTTGCTGCTGTTGGATCGGGGCCGGTGTGGAGGAGCGCAGGAGTGAGGAGAGGAAACTTGAGAATCCCCCCCCTTTCCAGTGAGACTCCCATGCTGGGCCCCAGAAGTTAGGTTCACAGAGCACAAGGCTCAGGAGGCCCAGTCAGCCTTAGCCCCTGAAATACAGGCCAACTAAGGTCTCCAGGAAAGAGGGGCAGAGGAGGCCACGCTTGAGACCAGCTCTGGCTAGTGAGGTTGACACTTCCCTGTGTTCACCAGCCGTGTGTGTGTGTGTGTGTGTGTGTGTGTGTGTGTGTGTGTGTGTTTTAGACAGGGTTTCTCTGTGTAACAGCTCTAGACCAGGCTGGCCTCAGACTCACAGAGATCCACCTACCTCTGCCTCCTGAGTGCTAGGATTAAAGGTGTGCACCACCGCCCGGCTGGTAGTTCATCCTTTGAGAATTGTCCATTCATTTCATCAGCCCAGTTATTGACTCTGCCCTTTGGTATCATGGTTTTTTTTTTAATTCTTTGTACATTTTAGATATTAATTCTATGCCATGTGTGTATCCATCAAGTCAGAGGTTTTCTCCTGTTCTGTAGGCTTCTCCACTCAGTTAACATTTCTTTGAAATGTCACCAGGTCCTGTTGGTCGGTTGTTGGCCTTATTTCCTAGATAACTAGAGTCCGGCTGAGAAAGCCCTTCTTATATTTGTGTCTGAAATGTTTCCCTACTTTTTTCTCTAGCAGTCACAGAATTTCTGGTCTTACATTGAAGTCTGATCAATGTAGAGTTGGTTTTCACTGAGGTCCGGCTCAGGCATCCCTGTGTACACCTTGGACCAAGGCTAGGTCTTCCACCCAGGCCACCATCTCTATCAGCCCTCACGTCTGCCCTCTGCCCTTACTCTGACCCTGCTCATCCACAACTCCTTCTCTGCTCCCCTTCATCATCTAGTGTTCACCCTCCCCACAGATACTGAGCGTGCTCTCCCCCAGTCATGAGATGTAAGTCTTGTGTCTCATGGAGAGCAGGGTCCCTGCATGCTTTCCTGTCTGTGTCCATCCACTGAATGGCTGATGCTCACTGGACTAATGAACTGTGAACAGATGGTGGGTGAGTTGAGTTTTATCAGGGTAATGTCAGCCCACACATTTCTAGGTGGACCATCCTTACTGGGGGCATCTGAAACAGTGTTTTCTTGTTGGACTGGCACAGGATGTAAGTGTCTAAGGGTACGTGTGTGTATGTATGTGCATGTGTTGTATATGTGTGTACTCTGTGTTGTATGTGTCTATATGTGTATGTGTGTTACATATGTTGTGTGTTGTTTGTGCTGTGTGTGTGTGTGTTTGTGCTGTGTGTGCTTTCCCCCATAGATCATGGGGATATGATTGTGCTATATATGGACTGTTTCCTGCTTTCTTTAGGGATAGTGAGGCTTGGGGACCAATTTCTCTGGGTTCAGTCATCAGAATGCTTTCAGGATTCTTATCACCATGGCTGCATGCATTATTTCTTTTAATGTTTACTGTGAACCAAGCTCATTCACAACTGCTTCTTAAATGGCCCTGTCTTCTTTTTCATAACTGAGAATGTTGCTCAAAGGGGTTGTGACCTACATGAGGCCACACAGCTGTAAGGGGTGGGGGTGGGAGCAGATGTTTTCAGCCAGGGCCCAACTCTCTCTCTTGGTCCCCTGGGTTCTCCCCTAGCTGACAAGGGGCACAGGGAAGACCCACTTCTTCTCTGTCTCAGCAGGGCCTGGAGGACCATGTCCCTCATCCCGTGGCTCCGGTGGAACGACACCCCACCCCGGCTGTCAGCCCGGAGCCCGGCGGAGATGGTGCTGGAGACGCTGATGATGGAGCTGGCTGGGCAGCTGCGGGAGGTGGAGAGGCAGCAGAGAGAGCGTCGAAGCGCGGCCAGGAAGGTCTGCACTGGCGTGGACTACAGCTGGCTGGCCAGCACGCCCAGGCCTGCCTATGACCTCAGCCCTGGGGAGCGGCTGCAGCTGGAGGATGTGTGTGCCAAGATCCACCCATCCTACTGTGGGCCTGCCATCCTCAGGTAAGCCTGGCATTGGGCTGGGAACCAGCTGTGACCTCACTGGCTCCAGAGAGGGTGACTGCACTTACAGTAGCCCGAGGCCACGGGGGTCAGAGCCAGAGGGCATGAGTGGCCCAGATATACGTTAGGTGGGGTAGAGCAGGAAAAAGAACCCAAAAGGCATATCAGACCCGGGGGAGGCTTCATGTGGGGCGGGAGGCAGATCTGGCGGCCCTCAGGCTCTGATGGGTGAGCCTCAAAGCCCGTAAGTTCTCGTTCTGCCTGGGTGGCTGGGAACCTGCATGTCACCATGGGCTCCTTTGTTGTCTGTTTATCTTCAATGTCTCCTACTGCATTTCCTCCTCTTCATCCTCCTTTAGCCCAGGCTAGCCTAGAACTCACTAGGTAGCCTAGGCTGGCCTCACAGTCACAGCAATCCTGGCATATCAGCACCAGTATTCTTTCCTTAGGACCTTTCCCAGGCAATGTCTCCAAACTGGTGTCTTCATTATTCCGTTTCAGTCAGTTTTGACACGGGTCAGCCTGAGGTGGGAGTGTGTCTGTGGGGGAGAGGGAACATGCATGGCTAGCAAATGTGGGAGAGCACAGGGCACCAAGTGTGTAAAGAAAGCTTGGGGCAGCTCTATCCAGAACTTAAACCGTCTCCCCGAAGCTGCGGCTCCCCTCGCTCTGTCCCCACCAAATGGGAGAAGTCAGTCCCAAACCAGGAATGAGTCCAAAAGAACAGAAGTTTCCTGTCAGCATTCCTCTTTGTAAAGGACAAATCTACAACTAAACACTCTAACCCGACTCCCAGTCACCCCCACCAACGCTTGCGCGTTCTCTGCTCTCTCTGTGAAATTCCCTTGAAAGGAGGGCTTTGCCCTTATTCTCCCTCTTTGGTTTTGTGGTCTTCTCGCTGGCTGCCTACCTTTCAGACTGCCATCTCCCGTTTTCCTGACTCTACATGATGGGAGCCTCTGAAAGTGTTTATTTACTTCAGAAGAGACGATGGGGCTGAGGTAGAGAGCCACAGAGGGAATGTGCTCTGGCCGGCCAAACCCACAGTGAGGGGACTCCCACGCTGCCTCCTGGCCTTCCCGTTTGCCCCTGCCAAGTGCTGGCTCTCTGTAGGGGGGAGGAAGGCAAGGATCAGATGGATGATTCTTGAGCTCCAGGGAGAAATCTTCCAGGCAGAGGAAACAGCTTGGGAGACAAGGACCAAGGAGATACAAATGTTCTTCCTGGGCTTCCTGGGAAGGAGAAGGGCCAATGTGAAAGCACAGTGTGTCTGTCACACTGAAGAAAGGGACATGGAGTTGGGGGAGATGGGATTCTGTGATTACACACAGTGACATAACCAGACATGCATTTCAGAGCAATCCCCAGGGCAGGTGGGGCATGGAAAGCCTCACACAGCCATGCTGTGGTCTCGGTGCATTTCTCTGAGTTCTCTGCCTCTTAAGCCTTAGGCTGGCGGCAGGCTCCTTGCATATGAGCATGAACCTTGAGAAAAGGCAGGTGTTGCCTTTTACAGATGGGGAAATTGAGGCTCAGAGGTGAACAGTGCTGGGAATGAGTTTATGATTGACTGGGACAAGAGTAAGGCAGCGAGTTGCCCGCAGGTGGGATGCTCAGCCAGTCACATCATGTCGCCGCAGGTTCCGACAGCTGCTAGCCGAGCGGGAGCCCGAGGTGCAGGAGGTGGCGCGGCTCTTCCGCTCCGTGCTGCAGGAGGCCCTGGAGAAGACGAAGCAGGAGGAGGAAGCCCATAAGCTGACGCGTCAGTGGAGCCTGAGGCCCCGCGGCAGCCTGTCCTCCTTCAAGAGCCGAGCGCGCATCGCGCCTTTCGCCAGTGACATCCGGACCATCTCGGAGGACGTGGAGCGCGATGCGCCACCGCCACCACGCACCTGGAGCATGCCGGAGTTCAGGGCACCCCAGGCCGACTGACCTCCCTGGGCGGCCACCTGCAGGAGGGAATGACAGGCCGGTTTCCGGGGTGCCGGTGCTGGAACCTCCCCACCTACCCGGAACAGGAGACCCACCAAACAGCACAGCTGAACCACCTGAGCCACCTACCCAAGTGCGCACACCTGCTTGGCTACAGGGAGGAGTCAGGACTGGAGCCCTGTTCCTCCCCAGCAAGTCTCCACTTCCCAGCCTGATGCATACACAAGGCCTGGTGTTGGAGCAGGCACCTTCCCATCTCCTACCACTGTCTGGAACAAGGAACAAGTGTCCGCCTCTTTGGCAAGGCCTGCGTTCTCATCCCAATCTCCAGGATGCCCCATTCACCCCACCCATTTGGGGCACCTTTTCTGGTGACCAGATGGCACTCACTGCAGGGGAGCCACAGCCTCGGGCCCAGGACAGCTGGTAGGGACCACAGAGACCTCACTCTTCAGCTAGTGAGTGAAAAATGGAGTCTCCCAAGGATCTCACTGCTTTTGCCTTAACTCTGATCCCTCCAGTGTGGAATTGTTCCTGCCTTTGAGTCCTTGGGCTATGATGGGACAGGACCATGGCTGCTTGTCCACCCATTGTAGCCTTACCTATCCCTTACTACCACGTGGGTCGGGGTGGGGCCAAGGCTGCTCTCCAAGAAAAGCAGCTAGGGATAGTTAGGATGACCATATTCCCCAGGATGTCATCCGTGGGGTGTGGCCAGTCCAGAGTCAGGGCTCGGAAGCCTTCAGACCTGCTGCTGGAGCCAAGGCATCTGAAGTCCAGGCTTCTGTTCACGCCAGCTCTCCAGCTTTCCTAGGTCACCTCTGGTGCCTGAGAAAACCAGTCCCAAGTAGCGTCCTATAGCTTCATGCTCTAACTGATGGTGCATGTGTGGGTCACCTGTGAAAAATCTGGAAGGCCAGGTTTCCCCCCCCCTCCGGGGCAGAAGTGGGGTTCAGGGTAGTGGGTGAGCAAAGTGTCCTTCTCTAGTTCCCAGTGCATGCCCAGAAAACACAAGTGAACCTTATAATAGTTCAAATAGGGGAGAGAAATCACTGGGTAATGCATGTAGTCCCTGGCTCAGTGGGAAGTCTGTGTGTGTGTGTGTGTGTGTGTGTGTGTCCTCCCCTTCCCTCTCCTCTCCTCTCCCTTCCCCTCCCCTCTTCTCTCTCCTCTTCCCTCTCCTTTCCCCTTCCCTCCCTTCTCCCCTCCCCTCCCCTCTCCTCTCTCCTCCCCCTTCCCTCTTCCTCCCTCTCTTCTTCCTTTTCCTTCAAGACAGGGTCTGACTATTCTGGCCAGCTGGTCATGTGATTCTCCTGCTTCAGCCTCTTGAGTGCTGAAGCTACAGAATAGATAGATACTGTTTCTAAGTGATCTGGTTTGGGGTTACTTCACTGGAATCTGGATAGAGAATGACAGGATGGCACACACCTCTTGTCCACCATTGTCAGGAAGAAGGATCTGATTGGCTCTTTAATATAATCACTTCTAAATAAAAACACCTTAAGCATGTCTTTTACTGGAAGATATTGAAAAGTTCACTCAGTTGCCAAACTTTGAATGGAGGTCCAAAGTGACCTGTGTTGTGTGATGGGGGTCCCATCGATTCGCCGGGTTTGTGGATGCTTCAGCTGTGACACTAAGAACTGAGAAGACTTCTAAACAAACAAGTCTACAGTGGGGAGCAATGTTGAGGGAGCTGGAGTGTGCCAGGCACCCTGGCCGAGGCCCTCACTGGCTACAGTGTGACCAGCGGGAGGTTCAGAAGAGTCCTCAGAGGACTCCTGATTTCTCCTTCCAGGTCTCATCAAAGGAAAGGAAAGCCCGAGGTGGTGAACTTGCTCTTGGATGACAGGCAGCTGAGGCCGACGTCCCTGCCAGCCTCCTCAGTACTGTCCCGCTTTGTCCCATCTCATCTGTGACACTAGAGCCTGCAAGGGCCCCAGAGCTGGGCCTCTGCACCCAGGCTGTTAAAGGGACTAATGGCACTTGCTGTCATTCCTAAAACTTAAAAACACTCAGGAATAGCAAACAGAAGTGTCTGATGAGTGGCTAGTGTGGCAGGAGTGGGAGGGTTGGATGCCCAGGACAAAGATGGATTCCCTCTGCATGTAGCTCAGAGCCTCTGCCTGCTAAGCTGGGGCTGGAGCCACGTTACTGATGACTGCATTTATTTGTGGTGCTATTTATTTGTTATGAAAACTTTCAAGTACTAGAAAGTAAAGGGAGCTTGACTAGTTATTAATATTTATTTAATAAGATTAACAACTAATATTTCACGTTTTAATATCTCAATCTGAAATTTGGGCATATACTTTAATAAGAATCTCAGATATGATTCTTCACTCCTGAACACTTCAGTGTGCTCTGCAAAAGAGAACAATCCAGAAGTTGGGGTAAAAAAAAGAATGGCTGGGCATGGTGGCGCACGCCTTTAGTCCCAGCACTTAGGAGGCAGAGGCAGGCAGATGTCTGAGTTCCAGGCCAGCCTGGGCTACAGACCGAGTTTCAGAACTGTCAGGACTACACAGGGAAACCCTCTCTTGAAAAACATATCTATATAAAGCATTGCTGTTCTATTATCTAATAACTAGTCCACACTGAAATCACCTCAACTTTCTCCCACATATGACTTTTGCAGTTCGTTTCTGAGAATGAGGGTCTCATCAAATCCTTCACATCGACAAGAAAATTATGATTTACCTATACTCAGTCAGTGTTCTTAAATCCTACTATGGAATACTGTTTATGGAGTACCATGGTGATAGGCAGTTAATAAAGGATAGTGACCCTGAGAGTCAGCCAAAGATGGTTTCTGCCCAGATTCTCATTGTAACCATTTGGTAAAAATTTCTCAACACAACCAAGAATCTCTCTAGTTCTCTGAAAGTTATGTCCACAATGTTACTGAAGCATGCAGCAGTTTGGATGTGGGAGCTTTTGTAAGGGTCTGATTGAGGGCATGTTTGGCAGCTGGTGGTGTGACCGGAATGACAACCCTCCCTTCATCAGTAGCCTCGTCTGTTGATGGAGCCATCACTAATGGCTTTATGGGGAGGTGAGAAGGCCTGGCTGGGGAAGTGGGTCCCTGGGCTGTGCTGTTAAAGGCCTATCTTGTCCCTGGCCCCTTCAGCTGGCCCTCCCTCCACCTTCCAGATCCACTCTGCCCTTCCACAGTCATGCTCCGCCTCCCCACAGGTCCAAGTCAGCAAGGCGGAGTCGGCGTGAAGCCTCTGCAGCCGTGGGCTGACCAGTCCTTCCTCCTCTAACGTTTCTGGGGTAATGTAATTCACTTTTCGTCCAATGCAGCTTCTTGCCACACCCACTTGTGTGTTTCTGAGATGTGCTCGCAAACAACAACCTAAAACACGTTTCTTCTTCCTTCTCATTTAGACAGGACACTAAAATCCACCAGAGTAATTCAGGGAAAATAGCCATAACCATAAAAGCAGGCAATGAAAAAAAGTATTTTATTTTAACGTGGGGTCAGGGAGAAAATCCAAGGCCTCCCCCACGGTAGGCAAGCATTCCACTGCTGATCTTCACTCCGGCCGGGGTCTATGTCAGACGCCCTCATTCTAAATTCCACATTAGCTGGTGTTCATCCAGTACCCAGCAAAGCATGCTACTTCAAAGTTTATTCAACAAACCAACGTTGAGACAATCATCTGTGTGTATCTCTGTATGTGTACATGTTTCCAGGTACAAGTGCACATGTGTCTGGAAATCAGCTCCTGGCATTTCTGGATAGTAATGTGTATTTTATTAAATCAATGTTGTGAGATCTAAAAGTGCTTACCTAAAAATAGAAGCACTTGCTGAAAGTTTTCTTCACCAGTTTTAAAAAAAAATGAACAGGGGCTGGAGAGAAGGCTCAGAGGTTAAGAGCACTGGCTGCTCTTCCAGAGGACCTGAGTTCAATTCCCAGCAACCACATGGAGGTTCACAACCATCTATAGTAAGACCTGGTGCCCTCTTCTGGAGTGCAGGGACACATGCAGGCAGAACATTGTATACATAATAAATAAATAAATCTTAAAAAAAAGAAAACAAACAAACTTTTTATAGGTTTCTGAATACTCCTGAGAAAAGTGTTCACAAGCCCACAGAGGCTGCGTTTTCTAGCATGTTCTCCATCATGGTGTCCAGCTCAAGCCCAGTCATGGTTCTGCTGCTGAAACACCTGAACTCTCTAAGCCTGCTTCCCCGTCCTGGGTGGGATTCGGCTGGGAGGTGAGGGTCTGGACACGGTGGACTGGAAGGAGAAAGACATTCCAGGAGCCAGCTCTTTCTCTAGTTCTGAGCTGAGACCTCTGCCTGCTGGGGCCAGGCACATCTGCTGGACTGTCACCAAATGTCCAGGCTTCAGATTAGGACCAAAGCCATCACAAGCAGAAGGGAAACAGACCTGGCCAATAGAGCTGCAAAAGGAGTTGGGGAAATTCATTTCACCAAGGAAGCCAGCTGTGACCCTGCCAAGGACAGATTGTTGTCTGTCGTAGAGAAGTTCCCGTAAGAAGATCTGACTGGTCCTTACAGTTCACACAGCACCTCAGTGTCATCACAGAAGCTGTTAGGTGCTGTGCTTCATCTCAGGTTACAGGTCAGCAGGCCTGGGTTTGGGGGTCAGCACCCGGGCCAGATTCCTCCATCTGCGGCACCCCGGTCTGCAGTATGCCCATCATGCAGGGATGTAAATGCACTTACCCTGCCTGCTCTCACCACCCTCTGCCTCCAGTGTGTGTGAGAGTCCTAGGTGCAGGAACTTTTCATGCCCGTGTTTCTTTCAGACACACAGCAAACACTTTGCTGATACAGGATGAGCATATGGATCTCAACACGGGGTTTTCACAGAGGCAGAGGGAGGACCATGAGGCATTTTTGATGTATCTGTACTGCTCATTAGAGTGTTAGTTCTCTGAGGCAAGGGTCCATGTCTGATTTCAGTTTACATCTCCCAAGTTATGGCTGGCACACAGTAGGTGGTCAACACACCTTTATTTCACTTACTGTGCTGGCTAGTTTTGTGTCAACTTGACACAAGCTAGAGTTACCTGAAAGGAGGGAACCTCAATTGAGAAAATGCCTCCATAAGATCGGGCTGTAGCACATTTTCTTAGAAATAGATGGGGGAGGTCCCAGTCCACTGTGGTGGGGTCATCCCGGGATGGTTGCCCTGAGTTCAATAAGAAAGCAGGCTGAACAAGCCAGAGGGAGCAAGCCAGTAAGCAGCACTCTTCCATGGCCTCTGCATCAGCTCCTGCCTCCAGGTTCCTGCCTTGTTTGAGTTCCTGTTCTGACTTCCTTTGATGAGGAACAGCGATATGAACGTGTAAATCGAAAGAAATCCATTTCCTTACCAAGTTGACTTTGTCATAGCAACAGTAACCCAAACTGAGACGCTCACCAAGCATTTATTGAGCACTTCTGTCTACAGTATCCACCTGGGAACTGGGTCAGTGGTGGGACTCCCTGAGTCATTCTGCCAGATGAGGTAAGTGTTTGATTGTCTGAATTGCTCTGGGCGGAGGCGGGATTTCCCGAGAACAAAATGACAGGGAGGGAGGTGGGCGTGTGTGTGTGTGTGTGTGTGTGTGTGTGTGTGTGTGTGTGTGTGT